ATTTTATACCATTAGAACCGTCTCATCAAGACGAATCGAATGGCGGTAAGATCATCTCTCTATGATTAATATTGGCGAAGTTACGATACAATAAAGTTTTAAGTATAATTCTAACTAAAATTATGTTAATTTTTGGCCGAAATTATGATATACAAATATAAGAAATTTTTTATATAGTCACATCTCTTTATAATCACCAAATATGGACTGTCCCAAATGTGTGACTATAAAGAGAGTTGACTGTATTTGTTTTTTTCTCAATAAAGCATCTTTTAATAGAATCAATAATATATACTGAAAATGAGTCTAAGATAAGTAGGGATTGTGGATTGGAGAGAGTTGCTATATGCTTAATCCAAATATTTTCAATCCAATAAAGCATTTTACTTTCATTCATCCATCCTTTTGGATTAGCTCTAATAGTGGAAAGTTACCCCTTGGAATATTTTTCAGTTTAAAGATTATAAGAGGAAGAAGTTTTGTTCCATCAGCCATACATGTTAAAACAACTGTGAAATTAGTTTTTTCATAATCTGTCATCATTGGTGGTTATTGGTATTACCACTTACCAATAAATGCTAAAAAATATTCATATTGGATACATTGATAAGTAACAAATGCTAAAAATTCTTGTTGCTTTTCAATTAAATCATCTGATAAATGTTGTGTAATAGTAATATGATAATAAGTGCTCAGATTGTTGTAGTTCATAAAATCATCCAACTATTTGATAAAAAAGAAAATGATTGAATATCAGAATACAAAGTTTTCCAATGTTGTATATTTGCAAATACTTTGGCCTTTACTTGAACCATTTGCCAGAAAATTGCATTCTGATTTTTTTTTTTTTCCTTTATCCATTCCACTAAAACTTTTTCTAGAGAAGGATATTTTGGGAAAGCTCCTTTATTCAAACATTTAAATCTGGTTGTACTTTCAAAAGCTGTTCTTTTTTAAATAACCAGTCTTGAAGTTATTTAGTTTTTATGTTAAATTTATTTGTATTATATTCTTACTATAACCTCTTTCATAATATGTGATAATGGCAATTTTCTCATGTGCATTTTATTATTATCATAACTTTTCTATTACCCCTCTACGGTTTACCATTTTACATTAAGAAATGAGTGAAATAAAATAAAAAAAAATGTTGTATATTGATTTAAGAGGGCTTTAAAATTACATCTTATCTAAGATAAGATCTTTACAAAATTTTAATTTAATATACCCCCTTATACAGTACCCCTCTTTTCATATAGTATCCCCCTAGTACTATTTAAATAGTACTAGAGTATTATTATTTAAATAGTACCCCAGTACTATAGGCCAGTGTTGTGGTAGTATACATGTACTAAGAAAATTCTAGTACATGGTACAATACTCAAACTAGCACTACTATACATCAGGAAATTTGTTTAGGCGTAATTTAGTGTAATATTTTGAAGGTGGTGTAAAATTTCGAAATATTACACTAAAAACGTAATATTACAAAAGTTTACGCTCTTAAATTTGAATAATTATAGTAATTTAAGAATATCTCGCTATCTACTGATCCAATCAAGACGATCTATAGCCCATTGGAATCAGCTCATCAAGACGGATCGAATGGTAGTAAAATCGCATTTCTACAGTTGATAGAACGCTCTATAGTATGCAGTAAAGTTTTAAATTAATAGAAAATCATCTATCGAACGTAAAGATACGATTTTACTACCATTCGATTCGTCTTGATGAGCTGATTCCAATGAGCTATAGATCGTCTTGATTGGATCAGTAGATAGCGAGATATTCTTAAATTACTATAATTATTCAAATTTAAGAGCGTAAACTTTTGTAATATTACGTTTTTAGTGTAATATTTCGAAATTTTACACCACCTTCGAAATATTACACTAAATTACGTCTAAACAAATTTCCTGATGTACTTAGTACAAGTAATGTAAATCAAATTTAGTACAAAATTAGTACATTCTGTACAATTTTTTTTTGTATAACAAAACGTGTAAAGCTTTTAAAAACATAAAGTTTTTTTTACAATTTCTTTATAATGGTATAAAGCTTAAAGAAATATATCATTTCAACAAACTTAGAAAGTGGTACTACTAATAAAATATACTATTGTAGAGCATGTTTTAGTAAGCTTGGTGAAAATCATCCTGAATTAAAAAAAAAAAACTGTCAAAACTTTCAGTCTTTATATAATCAACAGGAAAAAGATGAAGTATTTTTAGTTAATAAACAAAAAAGTACAGTTTTAGGTAAAAGAACATGTAAGTAGTTTCTTATATAGATAGATATAAGATATGTTTCATTATTACTATAAAATTAACATTTAACACATCTTTTTCAATAGTAGATAATTTTATCCAACTTTAGATTCAATAGTTGAACGAAGAGAATCATTTTCTTCATACTCTTTATTGATATCTTTACCTTCTCAATGGTCAAATTATGGATCCATGGAGTCATTTATTACACAATCTCTTTCAAATGCAAATAAAATAAAATTTTATATGCATCTATTATAAGTTTACTATTTCTTGTGGATTTTCATTATTTTGGATAAATAATCCAGAGGTAATTGAATTATTTAAATTTCTTAATCCACAAATTAAACTATCAGATCAAAAAATCCTATCAAATGAAATTTTAGATGAGTAAAGATGGTGTCGCAAATATGTAATTGCGAAATAATTGCAATTTACGGTATTGCAGAACATTGCGGATTTTTAAATCTAAAATCTGCAGATCTGCAAATCCGCAATTATCCGCAATCCTGCAAATATTCCGCAAATCCTCAAATATCCAAAGTACCGCAATTCAATTGCGGAATATTTGCGAGATCGCGGAATAGTTGTAGCGGAATGTCCGCAAAAAAAACTATTTTTTTTTAATGAAATATAATTTTTTAATTTAACTACTAAAAAATATATTTCCTCTTATTATTAATCATAAAAAAAAAATCATTTTTCATTAACAAAATTTAAAAAAAAATGATTTTATTTTTTTAGAAAAAAATGGATCGGTAATTTGGAAAAACTGCCAGAAACGGCATTTTTTCTTATTATAACTGCAAAAAAAAATGCCAGAACTAATAGTTCTGGCAATTTTAATAAAAAAAATAAATAAAAATGCCAGAAATAATAGTTCCGGCATTTTTATAAAAATTAAAAAAAAAATGCCGAAATCAATAGTTCCGACATTTTTATATAAAAAAAAATAAAAATTGAAACGCCAGAACCAATAGTTCTGGCATTTTTAATAAAAAAAGTCAAAAAAAAATGCCGGAACCTATAGTTTCAGCGTTTTTATATAAAAAATTTATAAAAACATCGAGACTCATAGTTCTGGCATTTTTATATAAAAAAAAATTTAAAAAAAATGCCAGAACCTATTGTCCTGGCGTTTTTATATAAAAAATAATTTAAAAAAATGCTGGAACCCATAGTTCTGGCGTTTTTACATAAAAAAAATTAAAAAAAATGCCAGAACCATAGTTTCAGTATTTTTATGTAAAAAAAATCAAAAGAAAATGCTGGAACTATAGTACCGGCGTTTTTATGTGAAAAAAATCAAAAGAAAATGCCGGAACCATAGTACTGGCGTTTTTATGTGAAAAAAATTAAAAGAAAATGTCAGAACCATAGTACTGGCGTTTTTATATGAAAAAAATCAAAAGAAAATGCCGGAATAATAGTTCTGGCGTTTTTATGTGAAAAAAATCAAAAGAAAATACTGGAACCATAGTTCTAGCATTTTTATGTAAAAAAAATCAAAAGAAAACGCCAGAACTATAGTTCTGGCATTTTTATGTAAAAAAAATCAAAAGAAAATGCCGGAACTCATAGTTCCAGCATTTTTATGTAAAAAAAATTAAAAGAAAACGCCAGAACTCATAGTTCTGGCATTTTTATAAATGTACGAAACTGACAGTTATGGGCAGCAATTAGAATTGCAGAATTGCGGGCTACTAACCGCAATTCAACTCCAAAATCTGCAATATTGCGGAATTTGAAAATCATTTGTGGACCCATCCTTATAGATGAGGCTGTTAAAGAATTTTAAAATAAGAATTAATGGGGATGGTACTCACATCATCTAATGGATAATTATATGTATGAAAAGCTTCTGACATAAGTAGTGAGAGAGTAACAAATATTGAAGTTAGATTAAAAGTAGAGGAAATGATATCACAATTAGATGAACTCAAAATACTTCTTTTAGCTGTTATAACAGATAGAGTACCTGCTTATAATGCAGCAAGGTAAATAAATTGATAAATTACTATTTATTTTAATAATTAATTAATTATATTATTCATATATTTTATTAATAGAAAAAGACTTCAAGTTCAACAGTTTTTTACTTTACTATGCACATCAAATTAATTTATGCATTAGTGAAGTTTTTAAAGTTTTGTCAAACTTGCAGTTTATTTTAAAAATGCAAATAATAAGTTTTTTATTAGAAATTTATTGGAAAACACTGAAATATTCAAACAGAAATGTATGGAAAATGTATCCAACCTGTAATTTCTGGTAATACTACCAAAAATGCTTTATAGGTAAAATTATTTTTTATTTAATTTTATAATTACACTACTATAATTGATTTAATTTACTTTTATATTATTAGTCTTTAGCTATAAAATTTGAACTTTCAACTTCTACAACTAAAAGACGACCAACAGATCCATTAACAATTCCATGTGAAATTTATAATATAATTATGAATGAACATTTTTGGGAGTCACTAATAAAATTAGAACAACTTCTACTTTCTTATTATGCCATTCTTAATATTCTACAAATTGATAAAGCACGATTATTTGAAGTTTTGCATGGATTTGCCTATATTTATCAGTTTTGACAAAAATGGAATTCTAATCCTGACTACATTGCAGGAAACCATTTCACTAGTATACTTCTCAGGTCAGTCATCCAGAACTTATTAAATTGGGGAAAGGTAAATGAGTTCAAAACTATTTTGACTTTAAAAATCTGATATTTGTGCTGCCGTTTAATGGATAACTTTATAGTATGACCCATAATGTTAATTCTTCTAAGATTTTTTCAACGTCCTAGATATACAGAATATCATATACAATAATGTCTTTAACTCACTCTCACTCGTTATCAACTTCTTTGTATCTGGTCAGTATTTGTATCGCCTTAGGTATGGATAAATTCTTCTCTCTACAAGGTTTTTTAGCTGATATTTATGCACCAGGATTTGCCATTGTTAATTGGTTCTTAATTTGTTTATTATTTGTAACACGCGCCTTTTGTTTATCTTTTTTCTGTAAAGTTTTGGGTATTACAATTTGATCAACAGTGATCATTTCTACATCTGGCAGTATTAGAGGCGTTTCAATTACTGGATTTGGTATAGTATTTAGATTTGATAAGCTAACAATTTGTCATTGATGGAAAGACATTTCAATTCTGTGTCATTCACTCATATCACCATATAGAGTATGGGCATAGATAGCAAAATTGTCCTACAATCTGGATGAAGCGTATAATGCTATAGAAAATATTAGTAAAAGGCTTTCGCCTGTAGAGCAAAGTTATTCGGGTTGGCATACTCATTAAACGTCTTTATTAGAAATTGAGCTTTGTCCATAGTCTGTGAATTCTTATCAAATAAAGTTTTAAAAAAACTGTTTTCTACAAACGAACTGAACTGAGTAGTTATTTCATGTAAAAATATGTCTCCATTATATGAGATAAACTTTAAAAAGTCTTCTGTGTTATTAGGATTTATTTTACTCAAGTCTCTTATGTCTGATATTTTTATTTTATGTAAAAAATTTTAAATAAAATGAAAAAATTTATAAAAAATTTTTGCAGAATTTTTTGTAAAATGTAAAAGGAAAAAGAGTTTTTTTGCTATTTTTTTTAATCATTTGCCAGAGTCTGATAATGTTATAAAATATTTTCAGATTCTTGATCATAAAATTCCAACTGAAAAAAAACTTTACTGATGAAGAAATTATTAATTTAATACAAGTTGATAAAGAAAATTAAAAAGTAGATGATGATAATGATGATGATGAAATACTTGTAATTCCAGTAAAAAAAACAGTTAGCTAATGCACTGTAAACTTTTATTAATTTTTTTGAATAACAAAATGATAATGAATTTAATAATAAAGATTTACGCATTTTTAGAAAATATTTACAAGTAATTAGAGTAAAAAAGTTTAATTCAAAAAGGCAAAGTACACTTGATTTATTTCTTAATGATTGTGATATAGAATAATTGTTTATTTGTTTTAATGTAATAGGGTAATGTAAATTATATTTTTATAGTAATAATAAAATAAGAGGTAAATTAAAATGTATATTATCCCTTAAACAGTTTTGTCAGCAAATTTGTCTAAATTTATATCTAAACATTGATAAAGTTTGTCAATATGATTTAGATTATCCTATAATTCTACAGCTATATTAATCTACATTTTTAGCATCAATTGTATAGTTTTAATATGTAGCTAATGATTGCTAATCACCGAAATTAGTCACAAATTAACCTTGAAAAAATAACATCAGAATTTTTATATAATAAATTAATTTTCTTTACCATAATATTTTACTTCACTACAAAATATTTTAATATATTTTTTTATTTTTATTATAAAACTTCACATTCTAATGAAACTTTATGTATTTTTTACAAGTTCATAAAAATAATTCTTTTTTTAGGGTTCTGTGTAAAGTTAAAATGCCACTTCTAAACATTAAAAATTATCATAACAAAAGTTGTTCTCCATAGAAAATTCTATATATTCTATTAAGCTTTAATATAGCTGCAATCAAATCCCAATGAGATCGTTAAAGTTGAATGCAATATTTTTTGAAATTTTTTGTCATTTAAAAAATACAACTATTGATTAATGGTCAATCTTCAATCTTATAATATGTAATTAATAAATAATAATTATTGCCACATAAATTATGATTTAAGCTCTTTGCGAAAAATAATTTTATTAGAATAACTTTATTTTTCATAAAATTAGATGAGAACTAAATTTTTGGTAAAATTGCAAGCAAATTTGCCTGCAATGTTTTACCATTTAAGGAGGACCCCGGACATTACATATACAACTCAATGGTAACTTTTCGCAGATTGACCTAAATTTCACAAAAAAAAAAAATCAGTTTTTTGCGATTATCTTGGCATCCAGTGGTCCAATTTATACAAACTTTTTTTTATTTTGTAGCTCTCATCGAGCTCTACAAAATAAAAAAAAATCCGCATGAATCAGATCACTGCATACCAAGATAATTGCAAAAAACGGAAAATAAAAAAAGAGTAAATTGGGTCTTTTTTGGCAAAAAGTCAGTTGTGAGTTCTATAAGAGATGTCTGGGGTTCTATTTAAGGGATAAATATATCAATATTTTGTATATAATCATATCAAATTGAAAGTTGTCTATACATGTGACTATAAAAAAAAATTTCAATATAAGCACACCTCTTTATAATCACACTACTTGCTGGTCCCAATTAAACAAAAGCAAAAGTTTTATAAAATTTATTTAAATGCTTCATATTATATAGAAAAAATTGCAGTTTAATAGATCTTTGTAATTTCAGCATTTTGGCATTTCAAGATGATTTTGTAAAATTAATTTCAACAATTTTATGTGCCATTTCCTAGTTCTGCAAGCAAAAAACTGACTAACTATCTTTATCAGATTTGTTATAATTTATAATATAAATCTAGCAGAAATTTAGTTCAAAATTTCTGCAATATACTGTAATATAAAAAATAAAATATGTTTATTATTTATAACAAATAAAACAAGAAAGTTAAGAATTAATTCACAAAGAATTTTGTTTCTATTACAATCTTATAGCAGTAAATTTCATTACCAGCAACCATAATAAATAAAATAAAATGATAAAAACGTTTATATGTGTGACAACATAATGTTTGATAATATTATAAAGCAACAAATAAAAATATATAATTAAGCATTTGACAAAAATTGGATTTTTTTGGGGGTTTTCTTTTTTTTTAAAAAAAAACTAAATGTTGTATACGTATATTATTTCTAAAAAAAAGTAAAGCGCAATCTAAATATATTAGTAATTAATAGATGTATGTACAAACAAAGACATTTATCAGTAAATAAATTGTTTCAAAGAAACTGCCGCTACGTTCTTCACAATAAAACTCAGAAAATTTGGACAATTTTCTAAATTAATTCGCTACGGTGAGCAACAACAAAAAAAAATCAAATAAAATCATAACTGTTACATAATATAAACAATCAAAATGAACAAACCTTGATCTAAAGTAACAACCTGGTATAATGTATTGAACGGCCAATTAAATGTACTTGTCTTTTTCTTTTTCTTTTTCCTTTTCTTTCTCCTGAATGCAGAACAATTGAATTAAAAAATGTTCAGTTTAAATAGTAACAAAGGGAAATGCATTAAAATAAAGGGCATGCCACAGCTTGAAAAAAAGTAAATAAAACAAAATAAAATAAAATATTCCTGAAAACTTTGCCAGAATTTGCCTGACTCGTCATATTGTCAGGTGAAATTTGACGGGTCGATCAGATTCCAGCAAAGAATTAACAATCTGATTATTAAACACTATAAAGCTAACCATATATTATAAAAGTTTATTATTGAAAACTAAAAAAAGGGACACAGACTTTCTTTCGCTTCTTTTCATTTTTTCTATGTTCTTTATGTTCTTTATCGTGTTTATGCTTTCTTTTTCTCTCTCCATCATAATCCATTTCATGCTTTCGTTTTTTCTTCTGTTTGCAAATATACCAAAAACATAAGTATTACAGATAAATGAAATATAAAACTCCCAATTATATTTCCACGTACTTTTTTCTTCTCATGTGTTTTATCTTCATCCAGAAGAGAAGTATGTGGTCCTGTGTTAGTTTGTAAAAAATTGTAATTAGAACAAATACATAACAACTAATATAAAAAGAAAGTTATATGAAATACTAACCTAACTCCGAAAGGCTTGCTTGTGCGTAGTTACCCATAGTCGATCGAATATTGTTATTTGAAATTTGTGTTGAAGAGCTTGAAATTGATCTTCTATCTTCAACTAAACCATATTCTGCTGAATCAAACTATCAAGAATATTTTTAAGTTAGTTTCTAAATAATTATATTTAATAATATCTTAACCAAATAATAACTTACACCTGGAATTGGTCCAGGTTTGATTGAATTCAACATATTACTTTCAAATATTTTTGAATCTAGAGGAAATTTCTCTGAAGGATATTTTTCTTTCCACCTTCGATGGTGTTTGTTAACGAGTTTTCTAAGACTCTTATCTCCAACTATCTTCACTTTACCTATCCCAATGCATGCCCAAAAACCATCAAAATAAGACCACATTATTCAAATATGCAGTCGAATTTCAATGAACTTTTTTTGTTAATATAATCAAATCGGTTTACCAGGAAGTTTGCTGATGTATGGAAAATATGTAGGCTCCTTATCAACTCCATTTTCTTTTAACGGGCGAATGTACTGTTCATAAGTACTTGATAAGTCGAACTTATTTCTTGAACCCTGTGCTCCGCTTTGAATCCGTGATGATCCCTGTATATTTGAATTTTTATTTTCTGTTGTTTCTCCTAGCAACAATCAAAAGTTAGAATAAAAGCAGTCAGAGACAGATGCAAGGGGTAAACTTTTACCTTGTGGTGTTATAAAGTATAGCATTTTATTTACATCCATCTTATGATTTTTTCGTAGAAAATTATATTCAATAATTATTACCAGAGAAAAAATCTAAAACCAGGTCCGGAAGAAATATAGACAAATCGTGTCATGTGAAGCATTTCATCACAACAAAATCATGTGCTTAGTCTTGAGAATATTTTGATTGGCTGCCAGTAACACCGTATACAAAAGTTAAAAAAATTACTTCGTTAAATAAATACTAATTATGTAAATTATGTATGTAATTTGTTCATCATTTCAACATTTCGTAAATTCATAATCCTTTGAGTCGAAATTCATGTCTAGGACAACTTATTATATTAGAGTAATTTGAAAGAACGTACCAAATGCAAAAATACGATCATCATCCATAAAATAACAAGCCACAAAAAAAATTTACAGACTTCTCTCCCCGAAGAACAATAAAAATTACAAATGCAATCAAAACGTGCACAAGCTTACGATAATTGGAAAGTCTATTCTTCAGAAGGGAAGCTAATGTTTCGCTGCAATAGCAAAAAGATTGCTTGGTATTTGTCAAGAAACTTAGCAAATCAAATCGCTCATGATAGTATTCAACTAAATTTCCAATCTAAAGGATTGGGGCATGTTGGTGATGCGTATCATCTGGAAGATAAATCAAATTTATGTGTTTGCTGCGGTGCTAGTGAAGATTTAACTATGCATCATGTGGTTCCTGACATGTATCGTAGACATATGCCCGAAGTTTTAAAATCTCACGCGGTTAGTATTAAAAAAAAAAAAAAATTTAAAGATTGTTATCATATTAAATAAGTGTGTTTCCTTTAGAGTTACGATGTTCTTCTGATGTGTGTAAGATGTCATGCATCATATGAAAAAGCAGCAAATGAACTTAAAAAGAAAATTGCTATCAATTTTAATATGCCATTAAATGGAAACGGTCAAAGTCGAATTAGACTATATAACAATATAAAAATAAAAAAAGCAGCTTCGGCATTAAATCGGATAGGAATACCAGAAGATCGGATGCGAGAATTAAAAGATATTTTACTTACTTGGCACCAACAGGCCACAGATAAAACAAATGATAAATTGGATAATATTATAGAAAAAGCTCTTATGTTACCAGATTATGAAAGAAATGATGAATTTGTAGAACATGGAAAATATGTTGTCAATCAGTTATTAAAAGATTGCCACTATTTAACCGGATTGGAAAATAATAGTATAAAAAAGAAATGGCCAAAATTAGAAGAATTTATTTATTTGTGGAGAGACCATTTTTTAAAAAACATGGAACCAAAATTTTTGTCTAAATTCTGGAAAGTCAATAATAATATATATGTAATTAGATAATTATATATTCTAATAAATATATTTCACATCATAGTATTATGCATTTTTTTATTTGTTTACCCTAAGAATGTAAAGTTATAAATTTGGTTTTTAAATCCTGGCTGGATTGGCAAATTACAAATTCATTTTTTTTATATAAGATAATTGGCCAATAAAAATAGTTTATACTTTTATAATATTATATAATTATGTGATAATTACATGTATTATAGAAATCAATATTATAAATTGAAATGGACATATATTGCTTTATTAAAGAAAAATTTTCATTCTGATAAATAAAAAAAGATTAGCAATTTTATTTATTTATTTTATTAGATATTTTACAATTGATTTCATATACTAAAGTACTCCGGATAGACTGTAGTACTTGTAGTAATTCTCTAAATGTGACATATTACGACAAATTAAAGGAAAGATTTTGGACTTCAAATCTTAAGATGACACAATTTTACTGTCTAAAGTGTAAGAAAGAAACCGAGACTGCTAGTGAAATACAAGATATGACCACAAATGGGCGTTATCGACTACATGGTGACTGTGTAGTTTGTGGTATATTTAACAATTATGATATCAACTAATCTAAAACTTTTAATATATAAAATTATTAATCAAATAGCTAGTTAAAATCTAGGTAATTAAATCCAAAAAAACATATTACAGCATTAAATACTATAACATAAAATATAATTATTACATTAATAGTATTAGTTAAAAATAAAAAGTTAGGCAATGTAAAGTTATAAATTTAATTTCATATTACAATTTATATTTCACTTATATTTTTCTAAGGTTTCAAATTTTTTTATTTTGCAATATTTGTAGCATAAAAAATAAAAATAATACTATTTTTGACCATTTTTGAAAGTATTAAGTAATTTAATTTTTGTGAAAATACATATTATAATATTAAATACCAGTAATGTATTTTAGTATACAATTATAAATTATAATTTTATACGTAATTTTATAAAAGAAAAAGATTTTCTAAGTTTAAAAAATGATTATAACTAATTTTTACTTAAGGTGAAATTGTTTAGATGATATCACCTATTAATTTTGATTATTTTATAATGATAATAAATTTATTTAGTATAAGTGATATTATTTGATTATTTTTTATTTATCAGTTATTTGTCTATCAAATAACAAATAACCTTTTTTAACATCTTTTTTTTTTCTTAGTTTTTTGAAGATAAGCTTTTTTTTTTATAATATTTGATTACTTTTTTATTTGCTATTGTTCCTTAATTATTTATTTTCTTTTTGTAGATTTTTTAACTTCGGTATTCTAGTAAATGTAGTAAATAGTAAATTTTAAATTTTTCATAATTTCAAAAGTTTAATTTCTTTAAATAACTAATCAGTTTCATTTTTTATTTGGATTTCTTCTATTTTGGCTGAATTTTTCCTTAAACTTTTTCTTTGAATTTCTTCTTGAGTTTCATTAGATTTCTTTTAGATTTTTTTCTCAGATCTTTTTTTTTGGATTTCTTCTTGAGTTTAATTAGATTTTTTTTGGATTTCTTTAGATCTTTTCTTTAGATTTTTTTTTGTTTTTTTTTGAATTTTTTCTTTGAGTTTCTTTCTTGGGTTTCTTTTTAAACTTTTTTTCTTTAATTAGAATTTTTTTATTTCTTTATATGATTTTATTTTACTTATATTTAATTTGATTTTATTATGATTTTAATTATTTATTTATTTTCTCTTTGATTTTAATTCATTTTAATCTTATATATTTTATTTCTGATTTCATTTAATCTCATTTAATTTTATTTTTAGTTCATTATAATTTTAATTATTTTTAATTTTAGTAGTAATATTAAAAGTTATTATATAAACTATATATATAATATAATGTGATTATAAATTTTTCTATTTACAATAAATGTATGTTTGTAAAAATTTATTTATATGCAGATTAAATTAAAAATTTTATATATGATTTATTATGAGTAAAATAATTTGATTTCAATAAATTTATATATGAGTAAAATTATCTGGATGATTTTACTTAAAGAGTAAATTAATAAGATTCTTAAAAAATTATTACTTAAATAGTTTTTTAAAAAAATGCAATGTTTGAATTTTTATATATAATTTTTAGTTTTAGAATTTTAAATAATATATTATTTTAACTTTATTATATATAAATTTATAAAAAAATGATGTATTTTTTATATTAAAAAAGGCAATTTTTAAGAAAAATATAATAATTTAATTTTTATATATAAAAAATTCCTTTTTTAAAAAAATCAACTATTTTCTCACTTACTAATTTTTTGATTATTTTTTCAGTAGAAGTTACTAGCTGAAAAAAAAACTTAGTTTTTTTAACTTATAGTATTTGCTTATAAATTACTTTTTGGATATTATAACTTAAAGAAAATTTATTTAAGCCAAAAACTTACAGTTTTGAAAGAATTATGTACTAGAAGTTATTAGTTCATATCTAATCATAACTGATATAATTTGTTTTAATAAAGCATGCTGTTATTTTTTTTTAGTCAGCTGAGCCTTACTATTTAAAACTATTCACTTAGTTAAAATCCCGAATAATACACTCATCTGCCAAAAGTATTTGGACACTTTTAAAAATGACCATTAAATCACATTATTTTAATGTCCAGTGATCAGAATTTAACGATTTATGATTCATTGGATTCGTCTAATTGAGACGCATCTAACTGCAGTATTTTCAAGTCTGTAAGTTCAATAGAACAGAAGTTATTGCTGAATGTCTAAAAATAGTAAAATGTAAATAACTTTTGATTCATCAATTCTAGAGGCATAAAAATAATAGATACAATGTACCTTAATAAGATAAATCTAATGAATCATATTTCATTATTCTATGTTTAATAGGGAAGAAAATGCTGTGAAATTTGTATTTGCTAAAGTTTTAAAGATAAAAAATAAATTACTTCATAAAGTTAAATCATATTATTTCAATAACCAGTGACCAGAATTTAATTATTTATGATTCAATGAATTCATATTATCAAGATGCATCTAATTGCAGTGCTTTTATGTCTCTAAATTTGATGGATCAGATGTTATTCTCAATAGTAAAATGCAAATAATTCATTATTCACTTTTAAAAATTTGACATATACAAATTTCAAAATGTTTTCTTCTCTATTAAACTTAGAAAGATGAAATATAATTCATTAGATTTGTCTTATTAAGGTACATAGTATCTATTATTTTCATGTCTCTAGAATTAATGGATCAATAGTTATTTGCATTTTACTATTTTTAGACATTCAGTAATAACTTCTGTTCTATTGAATTTACAGACTTGAAAATACTGCGGTTAGATGCATCTTAATTAGATAAATCCAATGAATCATAAATCGTTAAATTCTGATCACTGAATGTCAAAATAATGTGATTTAATTATAGTCATTTTTTAGAGGTATTTAGATACTTTCGGCAGGTAGGTATATATATAAATATAGGTTTTGAGTTTGCTTAGCCAATATATAAAAATTTTTTCCTATGTGAGATTTATTATTGCTTATTTGATAATATAATTTTAAAATAGTTAGATATAGTTATGCATAACAGAATATTTAAATTATTAATAGTCAGATATACAGTCAACCCTTGTTATAACGAACCCTAGGTTCTAGACCTCAACTTCGCTATAGGGCTATAGTAAAGATTTTAAGAGATTTGATTGGTTAATTCGTTATAGCAAGGGGAAATTTATTATAGTTGTCTGAAAAATTCACTATATCAAGGGTTCGCTATATCAAGGTTTGACTGTATATTTGTGTAGCAAGATAGATTTTTTTAATATATATAATATAATATATATTTTACATTTTTTACATTAAAAAAATCTAATTAAATATGTAAACAAAGTTATAAACATGTTTGTGTAAAAGAAATTTACTATTTTTACAGCAATATTCAAAATAAAGAAAACACTTGAAAATTTTGTTGCCAAAAATCTGTCATGTTGCCAGCTGCCAGTAAATTGAAAAAATAACAAATATATGACATGTTAGTATAGTTATGCGAAATTAGCGAAATCAAATGTTTATGTTACATAATAAACTTGTCATGTGTTTATTTATTTTTTCAATTTACCGGCAAGCTGGCAAGCCGACAACCTGACAGATTCTCGGCAACAAAATTTTCAAGTGTTTCCTTTATTTTGGATATTGCTGTAATACAAAGATTAAGTTAATTGTATATATAATACAGTGACTATTTTTAGACATGATCGTGTAATGTGTTTTTGATAAAACAAATACGTGTCTATGTAACATTAAAAATATAAATCATATACACGTCTGTGTAATATTTAAAAAATATATATTAAAAATGAGAGCAACAGGTGGGTGGAAAGGGAAAAATAAGTGTTTTTCTGTTTTTTTATAATTTTACACTATAATTTTTATATTAATCAATAAAAGTTATTTCATTTTTACTTAGAAAATTTTTTAAAAATATTTTTTTTAGGATTAATTTTACATTCACCATCAGTGAATTTCACCTTGATCTGCAATGCATTAAAATTATTAAAATTTTAAATTTACCCCGGTGAAATTCACCAGGTGATTTCATATTATACAAACGTGTAATACATATTTTGTTTTTTGCTTTCTTGTAGTATTATTTTCAAAATGACTAGCTTTTACTGAAACTTCTAAGGTAGAATTTTTTTATTTTCTTATTACTTCGCTTGTTTAATATTCTTTTTCTCTTATGCTAACTTGTTAACTTGTTTTTCAGAAAACAACAATTTCAAATAACTTCAAGAAGTTAAGGTAAGACTCACTTTTATTGCTAGTATTTTTATTTTTCTACCATTCCCTTTGCTTCCACTTTGTTTTTAATTATCCTTTTCATTTATCATTGTCCCTTTTGCTCCTATATCATTTTTCATCACTCTATATTGCTTCATATCATTTCATATCAGTTTTCATCATTCTATATTGCTCTATATCGCTTTTCATCACTTCATATCGCTTCATATCAGTTTTTATCACTCCATATTGCTCCATATCGCTTTTCATCACTCCATATTGCTCCATATTATTTTTTATCACTCCATATTGCTCTATATCATTTTTTA